GTCTCCTTCGTCCACTGCGCGAGTACCACGGTCGTCAGGAATTCCTGCCAGGATTTCGAACACGCGTCCACTACTTGGTGTAGAGTCTTGGCCGATATCGCGGTCGAGGAAGTCGCCGAATGGGTCTTTGCGACGTCGGCGAGGACGGAACCGAGCAGGACGTTCCTGACGAGTACGTCGAGCGCGTGGGTCGCCTGTTCGACTCCGGAGTAAGACTTCGCATTAAACTCGCACGCCAGCATGCTCCTCTCGTCTCCCACGTCCTCCGTGGCGACGTCGGGAAGACCGTGCATCCCTCCGTGCCTCCGAGCAGCCAAGCTGCTCCTCCGATTCTCCTTCTCCCGTCTGCACCGCGCAAGGTCGGCGAGAAGCTTCTGTTCCTTGTCCACGGCGGCGGCCTTTCGCACGTCGCTCAGTAGGGAAGCCGCTCGCGGAACTCCGATCGTTCTCGCGTGGACGAGATTTTCGACAGCCGCACCTGTCACGCGATCTTCGTCCTCTTCGTAGTCGGCGTCCGGAGTCTTTCGCTCGTCCCTGGGACCGGTCACGATGAAGTTTACGGCAGAGTTTCGGACTGCGGCTAGGTTGTAGTCGGTAAGCGCCCTGACGTTCTCGTGACAGACGGCCAGGTAGGACATGGCGCTTCGAAGTCGACCGTCGACGCTCGGACTATGTACGATCGTGACGGCAAGCGCTTCCTCGGTCCTGTCTTTTGTTGACTTTGCATGGTTATTGTGAATAAACATTCTCCTTTAGCATAAATTTCCATATTAGGCCTATATATTAGTTTATATTTTTATTAATGAAATTTACAAAAACCTTAATTAAAAGCATTGATAAACCAACTACTATTTGAAAAGACAATAACATTTCATTCATTTCAAGCATTTTTCATAAATCCTATAATAGTTTATTTATTACTAAAATTTAGGTCTTCATTATATACTTATTTTATGAAAAATTTGAAAATTTTAATTTGAATAGCAACGGTTGCTATGGTGATGACCTTGTATTTTATTACACTATTAAATTCACTTTTCTATAAAAAGCTGTTTATCGTATAAAAAATATTGTATAAGCCAATCTAATAATATTTTTATTGAGATAAATTATAACAGCAATTATGTGAATTTCATTCGTTGCTATGGAGTTATAAAAGTTCCGTAGCACTTCAGTAAAGGTGTTTGTTTGATTGATTTTTTTTTTAAATATTGCTCATACATAACCTAAATACAAAAATATTCATAAACCTATGACAATGATGATTTCAATACGGTAAGCTTTAAGCATCTCTTATACTTAAATTTCATGAATAAAATAGGAAATTTAAATTTGCATAGCAACAATTGCTATGGTGATGACCTTGTATTTTATACATCAATGTGTTAACTTTGTTCAATAAGAGATATTTATTATATAAACATATTTTATCTCATGATTTTTGCTTAGTCAATGACAAATGTACAGCAATTCTGCTGATTTTGCTTAGTTGCTATGGACGATAAAAAGAGTATTGCTATGCAATTATATCAAAGTTTCAGCATTTTTTTACATAATAGTTAATGAATATAATACATTTGAATAGTATAATGTCTGTCTCTTATACACATCTCTTTAGGCTTCCTGTATACTTAAATTTCATGAATAAAATAGGAAATTTAAATTTGCATAGCAACGGTTGCTATGGTGATTGAAATTGTAGTTTTTCTAAACGCAAGATTCTTTTTCGATAATTAACGAAGTTAAGTTGAGTTGAGTTGAGTAAGTTTCACCAATTGTTGATGATGATTATTCGAGTAATGTTATTTTTTATATTATATAGCTAAAACTATAATTTAAAGCGGAAAAATGGCGGCCATTTTGAATGCGTAATTTGGAGCTGTTCCCCCAAAGGGATTTGGGTAATTTTGAGTTCTGAACTTCTCAAGACCTATATTTTCAGAAAATATCAAAATTAGCCGGTAGTACTTCCATTGCCACCTCCACCCCAAAATAGCCTCTAATCTGCTGGCCTACTACACTACTTTGTTACAGAATTGGCACGCAGAAATCACGGAAAACGCTACATTTTGGTGTTTATTAGTGTTTAACAAATTCTAGTAGTGGGCGTTAGAGTATCTTCTCAGATGAGCTTATTCTCAAGCACAGCAACCAAGAAAAAATACAATCAACAAAATATTTATTATAGCCTTACGAAGCCAGATGATTTTTTCAAGAACAATCAAGAAGTTGAAATATACCGAATCGCAAATCATCGTTTATACTCAGAGGCTAATAATGTAACTAACAGAGTGAAAATGTTGCATTTGGTGTCTTATATTAGCCCTATTAATTATGAAATCCTAATAAATAGCTTTATTTCATTAAAATGGCTACCTAATTAATGGAATTTACAAAGTATTTTATACTATTATGCACACTGCATATTGCCAACTAATTTCCATTACGGTACCAATTAATGGGGTAATAATGTGAAGCGCTGAAGACCTGCTGATATCATCGTCGTCGTCGTGCCACCATCATCACCAACATTAACTCATCACTATCATTATCTGTCATCAACTCATCATCATCATTTTATAATCAGCAGCATTCTCATCATCAATAATCTATTCTTTATTCAAGCGTATCAGAATTGGCAGAGTTCGCTGAATCATTAACAAAGAAGACCAAACAAACCCCAAAACCATGCAACCGCAGAGAACTGCCCGCTACGCGGAGGATGCCTCAAAAGTGCACTATAAAAGTGCTCTATATACTATTAAACATCTGACGAGGAACAAAACTGTTAATCGCACTAACAGACGGAGCATTTAAACAACGATTCAATAATCATATCAACTCATTCAGGCACGAATAATATGAAACACTAATCACAGTTGTCCGATGATCGCCATTAAGCGTGAGACTCGGAGAAACAACATCCAATATATATATATATATATATATATATATATTGTTTAATTTAGTCCATTAACAACTTGAAAAAATAAAGTTATTACCCATTATATAGATAATTAAAACATGGCCAAGATGTTCGACAATATCTTATGATTTGAAAGTGAGAACTTACTGCTGATTGGTGGAAACCAAACAATAGCTGAGACTAGGCTACTTTAAAAGCCAATGTTCACATTCCGTGAGAGGGTGGTGCATAGCTAAAAGAAAAGAAAAGCCAAGGCAGTGGCATTGTTTCTAGCTTGGTTAAAAGGGTTTCCCTGACTCTCTGCAGATATTATTATCCTGATGATAATTAAAACAACTCAATTGAAACGTCGAGACATTCTCTATTTGGTGCACCGCAAGCATTTAATTTGTTATTTCTTCGCCAAACAAACCCTTCAAACAATATTCTACAATATTGCTAAGAATCCACAGTATCGGCTACTAAAAATGTATTCAATAATATAGTTACCAAATTGAAATCAAATAGTATATACATAAACAAGATGTTTCAATAGTAGGAATAATAGGTCGATTTATAAGGCGCAATTAAACAAGGTGTCCCAGTAAAGAAAATGTAAGGTGAACGTACAGAAAAAGCAGACAAAATGATGGTGGCGATTTAAGGAACAGAGAAAAAACAAGGACAATCTATCCAAAAAAGGAAAAATACTTCAAAACCGACTAGTGCAGGGAACCAAAACCATTACACCGTTTCTTTCAATTTAAGACCACTGTTAAAAACAGTGTTCAGCAAGATCATTACTCACTGGCAGTTTTGGCATCTAATTAGTACCTATTAAAAAAATCACAATAAATCAAATTAATTAATGACATTTCAAAATAACATGTCTTGGTGAAAAGGGAGGCTTCTATGCCTCCTCTGGGTTTATAGCCTCTCTACCAAACGTTCATTTACTGTGTCATAGATATATATATATTTTTTAATATCTACTTGTATACTTCTTTACATAAAGAGAGTTTGAATATGTGTAGATATATATTTTAATTATGTAAATGCTTATCGTGTTTGAACAGTAATTGGAAGGTCTTGGGCTCGGATCCGATAGGGAATAATGTTTATTTCAAAAATTATTAACTGTATTTATTACCTGTGGAGTTGTATCTCCATACCTAAATTACCCTCATGTTACTTAGGATTATTTATTGCGTACTTCGCAATATATTATGGAAAAATTATATTGGAAGGAAAAATTATATTGACATACCTCTTTGAAAACAAATTGTGCAAAATATGATGGTTGAAATAAAGGTTGGATGCACCCACGAAAGACAAAAAAAAAAAAAATTAATGACAGACTGCCAGAACTCAATGTGCTTTACAGTTTGTTTTCACCTTTATTATCATGCTTTATATAAATCAATAAATAACTCCAAATAGTAGCCTACGGTGTTAGTATACAATATACCTAATCAGTACATACAATATTCCACCAAAGTTCAATTTTTAAAATGTAATCATAAAATCCGGTGTTTGGCTGTATCATTTAATGTCAGCTGGCTGGTAAAAATGCAAACATCCTGATCTCTTCATCATTTGATTGGTTGTGATATACTGATAGACAAGCATGCGAGACTGTTGCTTAACTGAAAAGATTCCTTAATTAGGCCTAATCATATAGTCGCAGTAAACTTTTTGAATAACAACATAAATTATATGATACATAGAGTTATTAAATTACTAGGCCCTATCCATTTCCCATACATAAATACCATCTTTCTCAATTAATATAATTGATTAATATAAAATATTTTTAAAAGCTAACTTAGTTATACCCTTCTATGTCCAAATATGTTTTGCAACCATGTAAATTCATATCTGAAGATGTACAGAACTATCTTATGATAAAATCTTGGAAGCCCAAAGCAATTGAACATTGATTTCTATTTTAAAGGACCTTACAGGATATTTATGTTTTAGCTGATTCACAAACACTTGAATATCCTTTAAATTAATTACAAGCCTATTTATTATCTATGCAAAGAATATGAAAAATGCATGCATTTGTTAATTGGAAAATGAACATTTTCTTGTTCTCATTTTTAATTTAAGGCTAATATTATCTTTGTTAAATTAAATCAAATAGTATAATATAATATGATTGTTAATTTCAACATATATAATCAATATTGATTCTTTTTTTAAGCTGTAGTGTCTTTTCTGAAGATATCCCTTTACCGCATAATATAATCAAACTCATAACTTTGTTTTGTACATTGTCTTTCTCCCTTTATTTTACCCCCAACAATTTCCCTATTGACTTCCTCCAAAGATTCCCGGCCTCTTGAAACATGATGAATAAAAGTGAGTAGAAATTAACTATATTATATACAACTTGATCGTTGTGAACGTGTGGATTAGAGTAAAATATATTAAAGAGAACTTCACATTTCTCAAGCAACCAGTCACTACTTTGTTAACATCAATATTGTCCTGATGGCTCAGAATAATTGCAAACAAGGCAGTTGTTGTCTTTGGTTTAACCTCTTAGTGGACCTTATTGATTGCGTCAATGAGTGTGATCAGCTCTCCTGAAATAAAAACACAATATGTAAGCAAACTATGATTTATTATCATTATTTTATACATGTTAATTAAAGATGACACTGTGTCTGTTTGCAATGTACTCAAAACTAGTTAAGAAGAATTGAAAAATCACTACCAGGGAACTGCTTATTCTCTCTGCAATTTCTGCCATAATATTAGAGTAGAATTTTCTTGTACCTGAGCTTTCACAATGTAGGCACTTGTTTCATTAGATTACTTTTTTAAACAAAGTTTTAAATACAATACAGTGTTGTGTTATGGAAGTGTTTGGCACAGTGATTGAGGCCTGAACTCTCATCCTCGTGGTTGGGGGGTTGTTCAAAATTCTCCCTGTGTAAGTTGCTTGGGTCCTTGGGCAAGGCACTTTATCTGTGTTAGACTCTTTCTACCCAAGAGTAAAAATGGGTACCTACATATGCTGGGAAGGTAAACAGGCTCGCCGTGAGGAGCAGTGGTGGCACCAGCTGGGGGGCAGGGTGGGGCATTTGCCCACCTGTCGGACAGACCTGGACCTTCCCCCCCCCCCACTGTCGCCCGAAGAACGACTAGGTCGTCGGACCAAAAATAAAAAAAATAAAAAAATGCCTATAAAAATAAGGCTATTTTGGTTGCCAATTCCTAATAATTTGGTCTAAAAGCATATTTAGGACCAAATTAAGCCATAAAAACAGTATATATTTGAAATGTAATAATAATATTAATAATAATAATAATAATAATTTCGGCTTATATAGCGCATTATGTTGAAGCCGTTGAAGCATTTGTCTATATTCGGCAGTTATTTTGCATAATTTCATAATGTCAGGTAATTTAGCAATGTGGCTACTATGGCTGCTGTCTGAATGAACTTTAGTAAAAATGAACAAACCTTTGATGTTTGTTGCTAAATCCTTCAATTTGTCCTTTTTATCCAACACTTCCACTGTCTGTGTGTAGGGGTTGTAGTGCACAGAGAACGGCCTGGGAATGCTTGCGGCGAAAGTTCTGAAATGCCCACAAATAACATTTATTCACAAACATTAAACAATGTATATAACAGCATACACATGGTATATTTTAACATGAGAGTATAATTAAAAAAAAAATGTAAAAACATATCTTGCTAATATTTATTACTATGTTGAAGATAGTGATGATGAAATACTTAAATATAATTATGATGGTGACAAAAAAGACAATGATTTCAATGATAATGATGATGGTGATGCAGACAATGATAATGGTAATTATGACGGTCGTTTATTAATAATATTATGATATGACTTTCAGCATAGTGAACATGCATCTATTCAAATTGGTGGCGGTGGCGATAGTGTAGAAGGGCAATATGTTGAATTAGCAAAGTTCCTTCATTGTCTATCAATGAATACTGTAGTCATTATTTTATCACTGCTATAGTATTATTGAATTCATTTTTACTAATTTGTAGTGAATAGAAGCCACAGCAGATTTGCTACTAACACATAAATATAAAATTACTGTCATCATTATTATGAAAACCATAAATTTAACAATATAAAAACCAATAAAAAACAGACGGAAATGTTTGATCATTATTATTTATTTAACTTTATAACCTTGTTTATACATTCATTATCATTTTGTCATCTGTTTTATTACGTTTTATGCCTTTTAAACTGTTTGTTTTTCTGTCACATTGATAAAATGTGCAATTATATTTCTGTGTTTGGAAGGACCCAAAGGGAAGTAAATTTTACTCTTTTGTGATTTTCCTTGTATTTAGGGTCATGTTTATGTGTAATTTTTATCCTGTCAGTATTTTGTAAACTGCTTTTTTTTTTGTATGTATTTTATGACTCGAATAAATTCAATCAATTAATCAATATTTTTAGAATAGTACATCTTACTTCATTTTCTCAATGGCCTCTTCAAAGCTGTCTGACTCAAAGTAGACTGGCTGGAACTCTGTCAGTGGGTATTTCTGTTCGGCTGTCTTGCTTGGTTCAAAGGGCAGCACATTTGGCTTCTCTGAGACACAGTACTGTTAATAAGATTGTAGAAAACAATATCATCCTCACCATAATTAATTATTATCACTATCATCATTTTCACCACACAAATCTTAATTATCAACATCTTTACCTCTGTAGTTAGACAAAAAAAGTAATTATTCACTACGGTAATTAGCATTCTAGCAAAATAACAGAATTCTTTATTCATTTTGTTTCTTTATTGATAAACATTTTAATGCAAATAAAGCGAGGTGTGTGTGTTGACTGACTGTCAACACATCTCCTTAATTGCAATATGAACATTAGTTTTTTTTACAAGCTCACTGAAATAATCATTATACTTCCATGCCAGAAGGTAGGATTACAAACAGAACTCACTAAAGGTTCAAGTAAATGTCCAAGATATTTTATAACGCGCCTAAATAGATCCCTGTCATTTGATTGGTGGATTTCGTATCACTTGATATTGGTTATTTATCGCATTTCGTCACTCATATTTGAAATTTATTTTCATCTGTGCATTTTCTTCATAGTGACCAGATCTAGCTTAATTATGCCTTTTTTGCATAATTTAGTCCCGTTTAGCATCTAGCATATGTGCTGGCATAATTTTGACAAATTTAGTATAATTTACTAAAAGTGGACATAATTGAAACCCAACAAAAGTGGATACCAGGTAAATTAAAATTATTTCATCCAAAAATCATTGCTCTTATCAATATCTGTTATTAGGCCTACCCCATCACATTGGCCAGAGGCAGGAAAGAGCATTTCCGAACTTTCCATTGAAGGGCCACTGACCCCCCCCCCTTCCAAATTACCACATCATCAAGTCTGTTTTTCTTTTCTTGTTGCCTTTGTCCTGCACCTGGACTACCGAACCTTTTAATCAGTCTGTCAAATATGGGCCTGAACATTTTTTAAATAAACTGTATAGGGCCTAAATGGGAAGAGCGAATATGATGTTATACCATGAAACAACTGTTTGATAACAAAAAATTGATGCTTTATTTTGACTATGCTGGTACTATATTCAATTCAATTCAACAAAAAAATACTTCCAGAGAACCTCTGATATGTTCTTAATTAATTTGTTTGAAATGCCAAATTATTTTTAGAGTTGATCTCGCGGGTCAAAGATAATCTCTTTTATTTATCACTGTAAATGATCACAATACAAAAACCTACTGTACGCTACAAGTCTCGACATATTTTCTGAAAAATACAAAATGTTTTCCGCATATGTACATACTAGTACGAATGCAGCGAAATGTATTTTTATACGAGCACTGCCTTTTGGTACACCAACTTTTTATTACCCCTGTAAAGTCAAAAGTGCTATTAACGAATCACAATGAACAGAACAAAATACAGAGACGGAATTTGGAGTCCTGCAAGGTACGTACTATACTGTATGCCTTGAAAAGATATATTGACGACAAACAGTGATCAGAACAATACACAGACAGGACTTGGCGACACAGAGAGTTGCATGTCTTTAATTATTTGTAGGACAATATCGAAAAGTACTTTTATGAGCACTGTTCACTATAGCTGTTTAATATCATGTAAGAGTACGAATTTTATCGACGATAAACGTATTGCAAAATACCCTAAATAACCTAAATTTAGTTGTGTTTACCTGGACGATTCAACAATGATCTTCTGCAATTGCTATGTCAAAGGCTCATCTTGCTTAAGTTTTTCTTTTTGAAGACTTTCATTGGCTACCCTGGCATCTGTCACTTTTTAATGATGTTTTAACCGTTTGTATACTGTAATTGTTTTTTTTGTTTTATGAGATGCAGAATAAATTTGAATTGAATTTATAATTAAAACAATAAACGTTATATATCGTTTCATATTCCAGTGCTATGACAGATATATACATGGCCAGGAGCCCACCCCTCCCCCCTTTTTGGCCGAAAATATATATCTATGCAGATATTTGTATGACGGAAAGAAATGCCAGAAAAGAAAGAGTGCCACTCCGCCCCCACTCTTTGAAAAACGTTCCGCCGGCCTTGATATAATATGCCATCGTCCATATTTGAGAAGAAAAAACACTTTCACAGGGTATGAGACTTTTTTAATCCCTTTATCGATGTGTATAAGAGACAGTTCTTAAGTCGATTTAATAAGCCTTTGAAACCCCGAAATTGTCATATTGGAACACTTTTAAAAGGTTTTGAGCGACGCCCGACCATGCCCACTGTTTCGTCCTCACCCGTCCCCCCCCCCCTTGTCGGGCAAATCCGGGCGTCACCCATGGAGCGCCAGCTGGTAAAAAAAGGTAATTTGAGATGCTTTTTAACCATGTGACCGTGATTTGCTTTTATTGTGAGAGGGAGGTGACCGTGATTTGCTTTTATTGTGGGAGGGAGGTGACCGTGATTTGCTTTTATTATTATTGAAATTTTAGAATTTAGCATAATTTAGCATAATTTTTCCATCAGTCTAAGCATAATTTGTTTCGCATCGCTGGTCACACTGGTTTTCTTTCCATTAGTTTTTTTTTTTTTTTTTTTTTTTCAATGCACGGTGCCTAGGAAACTAAATGAATTCAACCTAATAATCTTTAGCTTTCAACTAAATTAATCTTTTGCTTGGTTAATTGCGGGACTACCGTACTCGCGCGAATAAGCGCCCCGTTTGAATAAGCACCCCTCTCGAATAAAACGTGAAAATTTCCTTAAGCGCCACCACCACTAATTTCATCTGCTATTCTGATGTTATGTAATACATGTACTCACAACTTTCTTGTCATGACAAGCCATGCTCTTTGGACGAAAGTTTCCGCCGCACCACCATTCGTAATGTGCGGTTTCCTGATATCCTTATAATCGTTTTTCATTCAAAATATGCCTCTTGAATTTAATAAGTTCTCATAAGAACCCCTCGATTTTCATCTATTTCCATAAGCGCCCCCTCAATTTCCACTCTGTTTTGATAAGTGCCCCGTTCGAACAAGCGCCCCGTTTGAATAAGCGCCCCTCAAAAAGTGCAAAAAAATAATTTTAAGCGCCCGGGCGCTTATTCGCGCGAGTACGGTAACTTTTTCCGGAAAATTAAATTCATGAAATGACGTCATGTCACCTCAAGATAGAGTTCTCCACAGAAAAAAACTGTTCCACCGAAATGCATGGTGGGAATACAAACAATGGGGCGCCGCGTACGGCTGGATGTAAAAAACTTCTGCCAAACTTACAACCGTAACGGTGAATACATAACCTCCTTTTGCGGAGGTAGAAATCGTTGATATTACCCATAAGATACAAACAAGTAGGCATAAATAAACCAAAAGAATAAAATGACAGACACATGTTAACACTTGTAACACTGCCAGTGAAAATAAATTTCTGAGTTTCTCAGACAATAAATTTATCTTGAATCTCGAATCTTCAGAATCCTATGACTGTACTCTGATTAGTGATAAAGTTTCCATCATGATCGGAAAGAGAAGGGCGCCATGTACGTCTGGACCAAGAATAGATTGAGCTTGTTCTACTGGTTCATTTTGTTGACTATTGACTGGTCGTTCTTCGTTAAACCACGCCCACCTGCGCAGTGGTAAAATCCTACTTAATGAAGACGACCAGTCGAAAAAAAAAACTGGTAAATACTCGACAAAACAAAATGGCTGCACAATTACCGCGATACATGCTGTGTAATCAAGGTTGCTGGCTTGTGGCAGTACGGGTTGTTTTCATCCAGTTTTTAAATTTTGTTAGCCTACAATTATTTATCTATCTTCATATGGATAAATATTATAATTTTTATTTTCTGAAATTTAATCTAAATTATATTAACGCAAATGTTATATTAACGCTAAACTGACCAATAAGCCTTGTTTGTTTTGGTCACGTGGATAACATAACGCTGATTAACGCCCTCTGGTTTACGTTAATTTTCGTTGTCAGCGAAATGTCTATTTTACAAACCAGCCGAATAAAAATAATACTCAACGAAAAATAGTAGTCAACGAAATGAACAAGTCGAATAAGCCCATTATTTAGATTATATGTTTTGAATTCGTACAATGGAAAGAATATTTTCATTCCTTGAAAGATTGACTTACCATTCAACTCGGCTCCACCTCAACGAATGGAACAGCCAATCTTTCAACTCGTAAAAATATTTTTCCCATTTTCACTCATAAACATTCATTATTTGTATAATATACCTTATATTAAATGTCTGTTTCATTCAAAATTGCAGACAGAAAAGTATTAAAAAAAACACTATTTAGATATATTACCTCAATATGTTGATTTATAATTATCTTTACAAAATAAAAGTTTTTAATTGAATTGAATTATTATTTTCCCTCATATAATAGCTAGTTATCATAATTGTCATTATTATCCTCCTTACAATCACTTTCATCCATCAACATTATTTCCATTTATCTTTTCATTAATTTCTAACCTGAAGTTCTCCGAATGATGACAACAATCCAGCTCCGTAAGCCTTCAACTGATTGTTTTGACGACACAGTCCAAATTCAACAGTGAAAAAGTAACACTAAAAACAAAGAAAACTACTATCAAAGACGTCCTAATGCATTGATAGTTACGAAACCTTTCACTTAATTTAAAAAATGCAAAGAATCACATATATTTTAAGTGGGTGATTACGCACGGTTGCAAGTTTCTCAACATATTCATCTGGTGAACCAAGTGAAGCTAGACCAATCTCCTACAAGACAGAATAATAAATTCATTACTTTTAATAATAGTATAATATAATAAAATTCAAGACTGATTCAAAGAATGCTAATGCTCTGTTTAAATAGCAGAGATGCCGTGGCATTTATTTCTCCAATTTTTAAATGTTGGATTGCAGAATGGGTTTCTTTGAAAGAGTGGTCTTGGTATAGAGAGGTCTTAGAAATAGAGGATTCTCAAATTAAATGAGTGCTGAGTGTACCTGAGAAAACTGGGCAAACACAGGATCAGCAAAGAGCGGAACATGACCCATTAACTCATGGCATACATCCCTGAAAGAAAGAAATGTAAATTTAATCAAGTTACACTCCCACCCCACATCAAAATAAAGAATGCACAGAACACCTGATTTAAAATTAAAAGAAGAATAAAAAAAAATGATATTGTTTACATTACAACTCATAGTAATAATCATAAGGACGTACGGCTCTGGTGTGTACATAGGAACTGACCCATGACGGATGTACTGTGTCGAGTGGAAAACACGGAATGCAAGTCCCGCAAGGAAGTCACGTGATGACAGAAACCCAGCAACTGGTCGCAGGGTGAATCCAGTACAATCTACAATATTAATGAATGCAATCATATAACATTTTATTTACAGATAAAATCTTAAAAAATGTAAAAAGCAAATAAAGTATTTATTATTATCTGCTCTATCCAATACTAAAAGTTTTAAAATCATTGTCAAATTCAATGTAGGTTTTTTTTTCTTTGTCAGATTCCTTTTCTGTTACGTTTCAATTTATAGTATTCATTGCATTGCTGTTATCCAGCAAGCTAAAAATAATGCCTAGAAGACGTCATATTTCATAGATCACTGGTGTCCAGTCACATGCAATATTAATGCTATATCAAAATTGTGAGGGGAATTTTATCATATCTCTTCTGTTACATTTCATATATATTTATATCCTGCGTCCATCAATTACACTCAAAGTATTTAAAAAATGTATTGTGTTTACTCAATATAAATTACTATTACCTTTAAGAAAGTTGGACACATCTTGTAACTGTGGGATATTTCCTGGTTTGAAACCACAGTTCTGGACAAGTAATGGGAAGATGTGGTTGTACTGACTGCAAGCATGTGTGGGGTACAACTCTGTCAACTTGTTAAACACTGTTGTCCATGTTTTGATCTCATCCTCCGTATAATTCACACGGGGGATTGGCTCACCACTGCAAACACAACAAAATTTTGTGACGGTTTCGGGAATGCTGATAATATACAGTCAAAACAATGGGACATCCCAAAACTAGCATACTTTCACTGTATAATTTAGCAGTATTGGCAGTATTGTATACTTTAGAACAGAGAAGCCGTAACATTTTTATTCATAACTTTGGCAATATTAAGTCGATTCTATTAAATGACCCATCATTTTAAAGCTTAAAATGTGGCGAATAGAAATATAATAAAAAGTCCGTTTTCATTTTTTGATCAACGATGCTGAAGAAAATGAGGAAAGAGGGGATGCAAGAAAAACAAATGACAATAAAAATGAGAAGTATAGAAAGAGTATGGCAGGAAAAGTAGAACAAGAGTGAAGAATGAAGATAATAAACATAGAATGATTGATAGGTACTTTCAAGTGTACCTACCAGTAGGCCTAATGATGAACTTACTGTCTGTATTTGGAAGCAATATCAGCAAATTCCTTACGACGAGCACGGTAGACAGGATCCGTAAAGCCCTAAAAAGCCAAAACAAAACAGAAAATTAAAAAAAACATTGAGTAATCATATAAATGTATTAAAAGTAATGTAATGTACTAATTAATTAATTACAAATCAATTAATGAGTCATTGGTGCTTCTATAATCCTGATGATAATAATTAGAATGATAATGATGAGGATGATAATGATGACGATATTGATGGTAATAATAATTATGTTGATTGTAATGATGATGATTATTATAATGCTTATGATGATGTTGGAGTTGACAGTGTTGATAGTGATAGTATAATAGAAATAGTGATTAAAATGATTATTTAAAAAACTCAGAAACATTAAAAAAATATAAGTTATTAATTTGAATTGAATCAACTTACAGGATGATCAATTTTTAGCTCATGACCGTAGCTCAGGATCTGGTTAGCAAAGCGATCCAAGTCTCTAATCCGCCGGGGAAACCATGAAACTGAGATTATAATGAATGTTCATTTTAAATATTCTAATTTATTACAATGAGTGTTCATGCCATCTTCAACTAGTTGTGCTATTCTAAATTAAAATCTAGCAGTGTTTCTCTAATCACAGCCATACCAACAGAGACAGTACAAGTCTACATTAAGCACACACAAAGAAATAACTTATATATTTGTTGCAACTGACATATTTGACTATGAATAGAGCGCATGAACCAAGATGGAGAAAATATTAAATGTTGATAATTATTATTTACAAGAGTATCGTAAAGACACACTGCACGTAAATAAAAGAGTCATTTAAACAATACTATTCTTATACTTTTACAATTAGTAAATTTCTGGAAGCAAATTTAAGGCATTTCGTAGAAAAACATCTGTAAAAAATAATAAAACTGATAACAATTTAATTCCTTTAATCAAAAAGAAATGAGCAATTCAATTTTTAAAAAGAGATATTTTTATTTGTTGGATAGTACATATTATTTGATATTTCAATTATATCAGTGAATCTATACAGTTTCATCCATGATGTTATAAATATCATCAAAAATACCAATACAAATTCAATTTCAACTACAAATGCAGCCTAGAAATTCACATGCAAACTATAAAGTCTGCATTTTAAAATCAGAGGCACAGAATAATATCTAACTCTATTCATTGGAGAAATCAGCAACTCTTTTCATGGAGGTATCTCTATTCAAGGACTCTTTAAAAAGAAATCGCAAGCTGTTTAATAGTCAAGTAGAACAACAAGCACCAAACGACAACCAGTACAGTATATAACAATTCTATAGTAGTTGTTTGAAGGTTTGCATGGCGAAGTAATTACGTATATGTTGAAGCTTGCGGTACACCACATAGGTAGTTCTGAAAAGAACTGTTGTAGTTGAGAAAGTTTTCTCAACTACAACAGTTCTTATCAGAACAACCTACGAGGTGTACCGCAAGCTTCAACATCTATAGTAGTTCAAATGATAAAGATTAGGATTGAGTCTCATAATTTAAGCTTTTACCAATATTTATTTGGAGAGGATATGATGTTTATAACACATATGGACAAAAGTAATAACATAGGCAGCAGTAACATGGCCATAAGTATATAATATAATAAATATCTATCTATCATTACTTTATTTTATATATGCATGTACATGTAACAAATAATATATTGATTATGCTAACATATATATATATATATATATATATATACTATATACTATATACTATATATATATATAGTTATAGAGTCCAGTTAAAATATGTAAATACGTAGAAACGTAGTGAATATAACATATATATATATACTTATATACATATAGTGCCTCAAAATATAGGAAGATGATGTTATAAAATCAAACAAAGTTATAGGTGTCTGATGGGAATCGAATCCGCAAACTTTATTTTAATATATATAATGTTCATCATACCTGCTTGTTCTATGAGCAATTTTATTATTAATATTTTGTTTATACTGTTCCATATGTGTATTAGCTGTGTATGTATTGGCATTTTCCACACTTTCGAATATTAATTGTTGATACTAAAGTGAACCGATAATTTAAGAATGGCACTCATGAGGGGAGACATACAACGCTAAATAAAAGATTGATTTTTTATATTATAGAATATGTCATGATATTTATTAATGCATAATGTCCTGGTCTGAACCCCAAAGGTTAAAATTAACAAGACGAGAGGTTACAATTTATGGTGCTGTGCAGCAAACCTAATATAGCTTTTATGTGAAAAAAAAATTGTTTTTTGGTAAGTCACAGGTAATTTGTATCTAAAAATATTTAATTCAGAGAAAACATCTTATAGATTTATTGTCTGCAAAACAAAGTCGGAAAAAAATTAATCAAAATGTTGAATATCTCATTCAAACGGATCATAAGCGTTTTTAATTTCCAATCAGAAACAATTAAAAATATCTTATGACAAAGTACACACATAATTTTTTCCAATCCAAATTTTTAATAACTTACTTACAAATTAAGCAATTCAAATACAGAAGTAAATTTTGTAAATAAGTAAATATTGTTAGCTTATGACAGTTTAGTATCTTTAGATAGGAGTGAGCTTTGTCAACCATAGCATTCGTGCAGAATAGATTTAAGTGAATGAACCAAACCTGCATACATTTATTGATTGATAAAACTTACGAGACTTAGCTGTTATATTTAGTTTAGAAGATCAGTGTCAATATCATGGGAAAAAAAACCATCAAATATATTGATGCACATGTTATGCTGAAAGGCTGTTAAGCAGCTCAGGTAAAGTGCTCAGATGAGCTGGTATCTGCTCAAAGGCTGTTGCACCTGAGCACTAAGCTATTTGCAGCTCAGATAGAGTACTTAGATTATCTGGTACTGTAGATCTACTCAAAAACTGTTAAACATGAGCACCCACCTACTTTGCAGCTCAGCTAAAGTGCTCAAGTGATCTGGTGTATATGCTCATGCTCAAAAAGTGGCTTTCTCACAACATATCGTTACAACAGTGGTAAGTATAATATGTTCATATAGTATTATGAAAAAGCTCAAAGCTATTTATGTTTTTCATAGGCCTAATTACTTGAATTTGAGGCTTTCAAAGATGGGCTCAAACCCTTTTGTAATAGGCCTATGTGACTGGCTCTGGTGGGGAAAATTGCGTTTTTGGTATTTTTGCACGATTCTTCTTTATAACAGTGTTTATTTGATGGAAATTGGTTGAGTAATTAGCGAAGTTATGAATATTTAATTCATTGAATATCAGGCATGTAGGTTTTGGGAAAACAGCTTCCAAATATTCCAAAATCAATAGTTTATTATTAGGATTTGTATATTAAAAATAATTTTAATATACTTTTCAGTTATATTTAGAGATTGATATTTTGAAGAAATGTTCTTCAATATATCTTCTTTTATAAAATGTAAAAACTGAAATTCTCCGAAATTCAGATTCTCGAAAGTGTTGCGACATTGTGTGAAATTATAAATAAACGGCGGGTTTTTGACAGCCGGTCACATACCAATGCAAACAGACACAGCAGTCGTGTAACAAGCCTTTATTATATGAAATTCCCTTCCAAAATCTTTTTTACAGGCTCACAGCTGAAAAAAAGGCTAAAAATAATGAATTGTAAACTCACTGGCATCTTTCGATGGCTGACGGGCGAGTGTATGAACCGCGGAGGTCTTTGCCTTGAGTTTCTCGATAAGTGGGGCTAGGTTGTTGCCAGTATTTTCACAAGTAACCAGGAACTCATACTCATTGTTTGAAGACTTGGACGGACGGGACTCGATGTGCAACAAGTTCACATTGTTATCCTGCAATCATAACAAATAATACCTAAAGCTCTGTCCACAATATGCCCATATAAAGTCGTGATGTGCCTATATATGGTCATGATGTGATGTCATTATGACCATATTTAGGCATGTCACATGTTTTTGTCAGATAAAATAATGTGATAGTCTGGACAATGCTTAATGGTTTGTCCCAAACTCACCTCAAAGAGTTTGAGCGCACGTGCTAGGGTTCCAACCTCTTCCTTAAGAGAAAACATCAACGACAACTGAGGAATATCATGATCATTATTTTCTTTAAGGTAGCAGTCATCATCCTGAAATGAAAAAAAAAAATTCAGCAATGAAAATTTGAAATGGGAATAAGAAAGGATGATAAAGATTATGAAGATGATACTTAATATGGAATATAATCTTTAATTAACTGTAATAATATCAGGCATGATTATGATGATAATAATGATAAAGACGAATATCAAGATAATGATAAAGATGACAATGATAATGATACCTATGATAATGACAGATGATGATGATAATGATTGTTGATCATGAATGAATAACGATTGACAATGAAGAAGATGATGATGTGTTATTATGTTAACATATTTGAACTATTAATTATCCAGAATACAATTAAAATCTAGGCCTAGTAATCAAAAAGCAGCACAAAAAAAAAAATAAAAAATAAAATAAAATAAATAAATAAATAAAAATAAATAAATAAGAATAAATAAATAAATAAATAAATAAATAATCTAATCATAAATTATAGGTTACTTACAGTAATACAAATCATAAAATACGGACATAGAAGGGAAGATCTGCATTTGTTGATACTGTAATAATAATTCACAATCTACAGGAAATTATAAATCCAAATAGAAATAGAGGATCAGGGGCCAAGGTTAGATCTATGGTTTAAAATCTAGCTTTACAGTAGAATTATTCTTCACCATTTCGTAAATATTATAGAAAGGAAATGAACATATGAAAAGATATTATGAGGAAATGTATGAATTAATTAATCAACTAATAAAGTAAAAACATAATTAAAAATACGGATGAATTCAAAGAGTACAATAAACTTGGTAAAAAGCAGCTACTGTAATACTGTACCGTTACCAGTAAATTGGTGTCAGATTTCTTTTCATTTTACAAACATATTGATAATTTAAAATGAAATCAATACAGATGGGTTTGAATTGAATATTTATACTCATTATACAGTATATTACCATCATCTCATTTACAGAAACTATAAAAACATAACAAAAATAAAAAATCATAAATTTACACAATGTGCTTTCATTGATGATGTGTCACAATTGGACAAACTTCCAATGTCGAGCAGTGTCAACTCTATTACAAAGGCTTTAAAAACGGAATTAGCTTAATACAAAAAGAACTATAGAGAGCAGCTTAGCTCAGTCGGATAATCTGGCGGTAGCCACTGTGTGTGTGCGCTGAACCGTGGAGATCTCTAGGTCCCCGGTTCAATTTCCATCGCTGCCTATCCTTGTGTTTCAGCTAGAAGGCTGAAATACAAGTTACAATAACGAACCGTCTTTCGGATGATCGGACGTTTACACCGTTGGTCCCGTGTGCATTTATGGCCCATGTAGTCCAGTCCGAAATGTAGCAATATCAGAGGTTGCATTTTTTTTGGCTATATTTTTAAAAAATTGGATATGATGTAGAATAGACATTGATAAATCAAAAAAGTATGTGCAACATTTTTTTTTTCATACGTAAGGGGGGTTGTCAGTAGTTTCAAAATGGCCGCCATTTTTTCCTAAAATTGTCACTAATATTGTAAGTTTATGTTATTGAAATGCAGCATTCAATTGGAAATTCACTCATAACAATGACAACAACAGTTAACTAAATATT